CCTGTCTCAGATATCTCTCTAAGTGGACAAAAAGGGGGCGGCGTATTCGCGTTAGGGTGCGCGCAAAAACCGGGGCCGCAAGTCCGTCGAGGATCGGATCGAGGGAAGAGAATCTCGATCCGATTCGATTTCGGTGGATCGTTACAGCCCTAATACAAAGCCACACTTTTAAGAAATTTTCTTAGAGGTTTCAAAAGCAAAAGGTAGTGATATCATTAATACAGCTGCCGGGTTCAGTGCAGCACTCCAGCTGCCGTACATAACCACCGCGCACGGACGCTTGCACGCACCTTGTGGCCGTCGATCTCGGCTTGCAGTTTATTCTGAGCCCACTTGACCTTGATTCGCTGGGAGTTTAACTCCTCCTTGGCCTTCTCGAACTCACGATGCAGAGCCTGAAACTCGGCCGACTGCAGGAAAATAACGTATTAATGAAATAACTTAATATTTAATTAATTTATATTAATTCATGTATAATGTTTATGTTTAACATATTAATAATAATACATTGTTAAGATTAATGCAGTGACTGTCGTTATTGTATCCATCAACACCATGAGCACACCTAGCACTCAGCACCCGTCGTCAAGGCAACCATCATCACGTTTCTGCCACACAGCATCTGTCACGGCATCCATCACCAAGGCAACCATTGTTATATACCTAGCACTCGGCACTTGTCATCATGGCAACTGTCGACATGGCAACTGTCATCATGTACCAAACCACTCGGCACTGTTGTCAAGGCAACTGTCATCACATACCTAGCAACTCGGCAACTGTCGTCAAGGCAACTGTCATCTTGCACCTAGCCCTCGGTACCCATCGGCAAGGCAACCATCGTCGAGGCAACTGTCGTCGAGACAACCGTCATTGTTTACCTAGCCCTCGGTACCCATCGGCAAGGCAACCATCATCGAGCCAACTGTTGTCAAGGCAACTGTCATCAAGGCAACTGTCGTCGAGGCAACTGTCGTCAAGGCAACCGTCGTCGCTTACCTTGCGCTCAAAGCGTGCCGCGAAGCTGTTCTTCTCTTGCTTGAGGTGGTGAGCGCGCGCGGCCGCAGCATCCCGCTCCCGTGTCGCATCGCCGAGGCGTCGCTCAAGCATCTCACGCGCCCTCTGCTGGTCGAGCAGCTCCTTCTCGCTGCAGGCGTAGCGCATCACCATGCTCGTGCGCTCCTCCTCTGCGCCGTCCGCGCGACGCTGAAGCTGCAACGCATGCGCTCGTCAAACGCTGACCGCGCACGCCAGCACACGCACACCAGTCTCACGGACCGTGCTGCTGTTTAACATTCTATATGTGTCTGTTAATTCACAGGTGGGAAGATAATGGGAGAGAAACGATGGA